ACTTCATAGTTTTATCTATTACTTGAATTAGTTCTATGCTTATCTTTGCTTCAACAGGTTAGAGTTACGAGATGAGTGGAGATTGGAAAACCGTAAAGCATTTGCCAACATATGGTCAGATATGATATTTGGGATCTCATTGTTCCTTCTTTTATATTTCAATCAAAGTAAGGTATGTAGCCCTTACTTATTTTCAACAACATCCCTTTATGATTCTTTTCCCTTTTTTGTTTCCAATCTATTGTTAAAATTCTATCATCACCTTCTAGTAACCAATGTAGGGTTCTTAATTAATTTAAAAAAACTGTGCTTTTTTATAGTGTAATATTCTTTCCCTTCAGATATTTGTGTTACAAAATGCTCAGCCCTCTCCTTTAGCAAGACTGGCTGTAAAAGGAGATTCTAGTGTTGGTTCTCAGGGAGTAAAAGTATCTTAAAGTTGCTAAATTTCACCAATCTAACAGAATATTTGTGAGATGAAAATCCCATAGAAAGGGGGGGAGGGATTTTCTTTTGTAATTAGAGGGAGAAATTCTAAACTGTGTCAATGTTACTTTTGTAGGAAAAATCATAAAGAAAAGCACAAGCATATCTTGTTGTCCACTTAGAGTATAGCCTTGAAGCTTATTTTTTGTTGGGTGCATGCCTGCTGCTTAATTATGGTTTACCATATATTACTTACCACCTTAATAAGGCTGGATAGCTCTTCTATCTTCGAGAACATTTTTGGCTTTTTTAAATATAAATTTTTAGAGGACTGTTGTCTGATTTTTTATGGGCAGAGCCTTAGACTGTTTAGCAGAAGTATGGATTTTATTCTTGACAGTGACTTATGAAAATTAAAACTCGAACTATCTGTCTTAGGTGAATAAGAAAGGTAGATGCTTTGTTTTATCTAAGGAATTACAACCTTAGAGTTCTTCTTCTTCTTCTTCTTTAATCTGGTCAACAAAGCCCCATAAATACACTTTCGGCAGCTATAGTTCTGTGCGTGATTGTTTCAACTGAAACAAATCTTGCAAAGATTAACTATGTCTTGAAGTCTGCATCAGAACTAACCTTCTTTAATGTTTCTACTTTTCCCTCTCAACTTCTGCAGGTAGCTTTGCTGAAGTTTACTGGTTATAAACTATTTAATAATATTTCAGATGCTGGGAAGGCATTTCTCATTATAGTTATTGCAGACATTCTTTTAGGGTAATGTCTTCTGACCTGTGCTTTAAGATTCTTTGACTCATTTTCCATTAACTAACAACTTTTTAACTGCAGGTATCATTCCGAATTAGGATGGCAAGCTTTCTTAGAGATAATGGTTGAGCACTATGGATTTCAAATTGATGAGGCTGCTATAACCATTTTTATCAGTGTGGTTCCTGTTTTCACTGATTCATGTCTGAAGATTTGGGTATGTTTTACTTTACATACAATACTCTGGCACCCTGTTGATTTTCGTGTCTTGTTCCAACAGAGACATAAGATGGATCCATAATCGTCTTAATCTGCCTTCTCATCACATAGTTTGTCAACATTTTATTTTTGTGTTGTTCCTTGCTTCATATGTTTCCTGGTCCTATGAACATGTGAAAAAAAGGTAACTACAATGTGTATGATGGGTGACAATATCAACTATATCGTATAATGCACTACTGATTCAATTCAGGACAGTCACTTTACTTTTCAACTGAATGGATTATCTAATGCTTTTTCATTCTCTATCTCTGGTGCAGTTGTTTAAGTTCCTTCCAAGACTATCTCCAAGAGTTGATAGTATATTCCATGACATGGGGCGCCACTAGTGAAATTTGTTATCACCATTTTTGGTTTCTTTCACGTCCTCTACTTTCTACAGAGTCACTTATGTTTTAATTTGCAGTACAAACGAACATGAGAAAGGAGATTCTAGGTTTTTGTGAATTGATTTGTTGCATACAGTGAAAGATGATGCTATTGATTCAAAGTTGTTCCCATAAAATTCAGCTTCTTTATTTATGTGACTGTAGTGTAGAGTTTAGATGGATTGTTTTTGTGGAAGTTGGTCCTTGTTTTTTTATGTTAGTTTTATGGTCCCCAACCTCAAAGAAAAAGGATATAAGAAAAACAGACTGGAATTTTTTGTCAACTGGGTATGGGTAGAGTACATATAAAGTCACTCTTTTTTCTTTATTATTATTATTTTTTTACAATAAAAACAATTCTCTCTTATCTTTTAATTTATTTCTTCATATATTATACAACACTAATCCAAAACTTGAATTCAAAATTCATTATTCTTTTATAAGAGATCACTATTAAGATACCTAAGTGATTAACTACCTACAAATTAATTGTTTATTCCAAATGCGAGAATAAAAATAATTAGTATAAAACATGCCTATAATAAGATTTTAATTCACAACTTCATAACAACATTGGATTTGCTAACTATAAGAAATTAGTGCACTTAAGATTTTAAAAAACAAAATATTATTTCCAAATAATATTCAAAGAAAATAGGACTAATGAAATTTTTTATTTCAAGAATGATTGTCCTAATCAATCAAAGGAAATAGCACTAACTAAAAATATTCAAAACCCACTTCTTTTTTATTTCAAGAATGATCTAAGCAAGTAATAATTTTTCATCTTAATTTTCGTTTTTAACTCATTTAATTATATGTTACAGTATACATCATTCAAATTTAAGTTTTCTTTAATTAAAATAGGGGATTATAAATTCTTGTAATACCATATTAGTTATGATGGTAAGATAAATAAGAGATTTTTTTAATTAATTTTTTGATATCTAAAAATTATGTTGAATTTTATATTTATAATATTTAGATTTAAAGTTTTGAAAGAAACTTAATTTTTTTCATTCAAATCAACTCATATTATTGATGATAAATAAAAGACCATAATAAGAGAAAAACGAAGGGAAATTAGTTTACTAAGGCGATTGACTTTTTTTTTTTAATTTTTTATACAAAATAAACAAGCTAAAACCCTTTTCTTCTTCCAATAAAAAGAAATTAGAAACCCAAAAGTCAAAACCTCGTCTCGCTGTTTACGAGATTCTCTTTTTAATTTCCCTCTCAAACAGCGACTTCTCTCTTCTCCCCGGATCTCTTCGATTCATGGACAATCCTCCAGAGGACCGTCACCGAATCGCCTCCACAGGTCTGTGAATCGATTCCTCTATCTTCTTCAATTTCATTTCCTGATTCGAGCTTCAAGGTCTCTGCATCTTGTAATGTGGTCTTCTTCTTCTTCTTCTTCCTCTTCTTCTTCTTCTTCTTCTTCTTGCGAAATGCTTCAAGTTTTTCGTGTTTCAATTTGGGGTATTTTGATGTGTGGTTTTTTTGGGGATTGCTTACCTGTTGTGTCTATTTCTGAATTTATTTCTTCATTTGCTAGTTCAATTTCTCTGCAAGGTGTTTTCGTTAGGGTTTTTGACGCTAACACAAGGTCATGTATGAATTTTTTGTTAAAATTGCATCTGAATCGAACATGTTTTTAGTTTGGTGGGAGGGTAGATTCTCAAATTATTAGTTCGGAAAAGTATATACTTTGACCGCTTTGTACCCGTCCTTCATTTGTAAGGTTGCCTAAATATTCGATTCATTTATTTCTGAAATCAGTTGCTATCTTAATGGGATGATTCATTTCTTGAATCATCAGTCCTGCGTAATTGACAAATCAGTTATATTGGAAATCTCGTTAAGATTAGGGATATCTTGCTCTCTTGTTTTCTGCCTTTTCATTGAAGTTATGTTTAGGTCAGCTTATCTCGGTATGTGAGATGGAATCCTGTTGTTCGTAATTTAATGCATACCTGCTTAGTTTGTTGCTTTGCAATGAGTAACTGAACGTAATAAATTATGGGTGCAGGGGAGAGACCTGTCAGGCCTGAAAACTCAATGGAGCAGGTACATAAATACAACTCTCTTTGAAAATTTGTTTTAATTTACCCATGTCTTTTGATAAGCATAGGTGAATACGTTCGGTTAGCATTTCATTTTGCAATTTATTATCAGCTAGTCTCCTCCAAAGATGAAAGGATTGTTTCAGTGAATCCTTCTCCGGATGCAGCCACCATAGGGTCCTCGAGGGATGTCACTGAGCATTCAAGATCTTCAAAAGAAGGTGGAGATCTTAGTGTTTTTGCTTATGAACAAAACATGCAATACGGGGGTTAGTTTCTCAATCCTTTGCTGCTGATCTTGCTTATTTTCTGGGTTTTGGAAACCCAACACTTAGAACGTAATATTTTGTTATTTTTTATGGGTAAGGGCTTAGAACAGAACATTTAGTCCCTGGATTTTTTTTTTTTTTCTGATTTTTCTTTTGCTTCAGGCTATGGCAATGCAACTGGTAGTTGGGATGGATATCCTCAATTTGTTAATAATGATGGGTTGCACATATCTCCTGTAAGAATTCACTCCATGATTTCTAACATTTATTTTCTACAAAAAGCATAGCATTTGATTGCCCTTCTCTCTCTCTCTCTCTCTCTCTCTCTCTCTCTTTGGTGTGATCTGAATTAGGTGATGTACGGTGAGAATCCATCTGTTTTGTTGTCTCCTGGTTATGGCTTCACTCCAGACATGACATATGGTCAATTTTCTCCTGTTGGTACACCTCTACCTTCTGTAATGGTAGATGGCCAGTTATACTCTCCTCAGCAAATTCCATTTTCTCCAACTTATTACCAGCAACCTGCCCCTTCAAATGTGCCTTCAGCTCTTCCCTTTTCACCATCGGAGCTCATGACACCAGAAAGTAGTAATGAGAACTTGCTTTTTGGGCCAGGACCCAGTTACCTGGTACAACTTGGATTGGTTGGTGGAGGAAACGTACCTGGGAATCCTAATTCTAGTTCTGTAACTGCTGCTGCCCCATATCCTCAAGCAATGGGCATTCTTGGTTCTTATGAGCATAATGTTGGGCAGGTTTGTTCTCTTCACTTTTTAACGTTGCCATGAAATGCTTTATTGTGTCATGAATGTTGGTTCACATTAATGATTTAACGAGTGGCCCAGATAGAAGGATGCCATTTCTGAATCTTTGTAGTTTTTTGGTACAGCTGATCTTTTTAGTTAAATATGGTTCTCATGTAAGGAATTTAGTATGGTTAAATTCTGGCCAAGTGCTTCTATGCCTTTACCTGAATTTGTCCTAGTAGTTCTTTGTCTAATGCTATTGGCCTGTTTATTTTGCTTATTTTTCACTTACAGAGACCTTTGCATGGAGTTGGTTCACTATCCAGTTCCTCTGTTGGACATTATCCATATGGTGGGTCTTATCAAAGGCCTAACTTCAGCAGTGCATCATTTCCTTATTTTGGGGCTAATGACCAGACAAAATTCACTCTTGACAAGGGCAGGAGACAGGAGAGGGACCAAGGCTCAATTTACATTTCTAATGATTCTCACAGTATTGACCGCAATCGTGGACCAAGGGCTTCGAAGCTTAAGGCTAAGAGCACAAGTGAACAGAGCCTTCTGTCTGTTAATAGATATAACTGTCCAGATTTTGTTACTGATTTTGAGAATGCAAAGTTCTTTGTAATCAAGTCTTTTAGTGAAGACAATGTCCATAAAAGTATTAAGTACCATGTTTGGGCCAGCACTCCACATGGGAACAAGAAACTAGATGCTGCCTATCATGAGGCAAAGGATAAGAGAGGAAAGTGTCCAGTCTTTCTATTGTTTTCGGTATGTGTTTTTATTTAACTTTACATGTTTTTCTTCTTTCATGAAGGCCACTGTGCCATTTTTATGTCATGGCAGTTTTATATGGTTTTATGAGAGGGCTGCCAAGATAAATTTTGAATGTTCTTTTCTTATGTGTTTCAAACCTGAGTTCTTTGTGAACCAGGTATGTTAGTATCTATTCCTACTAATTATTGATAAGCTTGTTCAAATTTTGATTCTGAATTAGATAGACTGTTGGAAGTTTGTGTTGTTTTTTTGACAGATTGTTCTATCACCTACTTCTCATTTTTGTTTGTTGCAAGTTCTTATATATGTTATTTACAAACATTTTTAGGTCAATGCTAGTGGGCAGTTCTGTGGGGTAGCTGAAATGGTTGGACCTGTAGATTTTGGGAAGGATGCTGATCACTGGCAACAAGATAGGTGGAGTGGGCAGTTCCCAGTACTGTGGCATTTCATTAAAGATGTTCCAAACAATCGATTCCGACATATATTACTGGAAAATAATGACAATAAACCTGTAACTCACAGCCGAGATACTCAGGAGGTAGCATACTTTTTACCATTGCTACCTTCTTATTTTAAATTATTTCACATTGTTGTGGATAAAGTCTGGATCAGTCTTCTCTTTCATATTGGTGAATTTTCAGCTTGCTTATTGTGATTTGTTTTGCTTGTTGAATCATGCCTTTGTAGGTAAAATAGAAAAGTAATATATTTTTTGCTCCCGTCAGTTCTTAGTCTGAGGATGAGCCTGAATCTAGTATGACAATGTTTGTAACCTAAGAAGGCTTTTTCTGTATAGTCCTAAAGATCTGATTGTGATTTGGGATAATGATACAATCGTATAGGATTAAATAAGATGGTAGTTTGTTAGTTTCAAAAGACATTTGATCTTTGTTTTTATATTGAAATTTCCCCCTTTTCTTTTTATCAAACTTGAAGAAACTGACTTGTTCAAAGTTCAGTCATTTATAAATTAAGGCATTGCTTATGCTAGATGTGTTCTCTTGGTTTTGAAATATAATCAGGTGAGACTAGAGAAGGGTGTTGAAATGTTGAAAATTTTCAAGGACCATGATGCACATACATCTCTTCTGGATGATTTTGGCTTTTATGATGATCGGGAAAGAGTTTTGAAGGACAAGAAGGCTAGACAGCAAGCCAACTCAACCTCCTGTAAGAATTCACTCCATGATTTCTAACATTTATTTTCTACAAAAAGCATAGCATTTGA